ATGTTGAAGAGAGTCTCAAGCAAGATGTTACCTCCACTGAAAAGACACAGAGACTGACGCCTGTATGGTGTGTTGACAGGCTGTTTGGGGCGCTAAAACCTAGTTTCCCTGTACTTAAAATTATGTTAAATAATTGTTAAAATTACAAAAAAATTTAATACAAAACTTTTATAATTATTGAATAGTACAAACTTCTTGATCTTTACTGAAATAGTAAGGAATTTAAGCCCTAGAACCGATTATTGTATTGGCGGACTAATATGACAGCTAGTGCGCAAGCGAAAACATGTTGAGGGGCGCTCGTGAGGATTTCGTTATTCGAGGGAATGCTCGTTAACCGAAGTTAAGAATCTTATGGAAGGTAATTCGATAACCGAAGTTAAGAATCTTATGGAAGGTAATTCCTTAACCGAAATCTCGTTAACCGAGGCACACCGTTAACCGAGGGATCACTGTATATAAGAACAGCAAACATCTAAATACTGTATGTTAATTTAACCAAGTCTTCAGTTTAACATGATCAAAAAACAAATTTTAACCCAGAGTTTGGCATTTCAGAATTGGCTACTTTAAGAAAATGACTGCCCAAGGATGAATTGCTATATAACCAAGAAGAGTTACCTAACTAAGGCACAAGATGCTAACTGAACAATATATTAAACATGATATTATATACAGTTAAGAGGTGTTAAAGTTCATCTGCCCCATAACATCAGCTACTATATATATGAACCCTAACCATTATTTACCAGACAATGGTACCATATATCTGTAAGTGATGAAAGAATATATTTAAAACATGAATCAAAACTACCAACCATTTTAATCAAGATAAAATATCAAAATATCTCGTCAGAGTTGAGCAAAACTTATCAAATATTTACGTACAATTTCACCAGAGATTGAAGAGTTTGCGTGAGATAATGACAACAACTTGACTATAACAAATGGTCTACCACCACTGTACTACTTTACCAAGATGATTAACTACCTGTGTTAATGTACGTACTTGTGATAAAACTTACGTCATGTGTAAATAAAGACAGACGTACACAGTTGACACAACTATTGATGCACAAATTATAGTAAATGAGAGTTCATCTCTGTTCAACACAACTTATCCACTAAAGATGAAATTTTAAGTACATAGATGATAAGTTTAACCTTTGTTCACTACTGTACTGTAAATAACATTATTAAAAAGGCTGATGAAACAAAATGGAGTATTATTATGAGTGATATTTAACCAACACCAAATGTCTACACTAAGGCCATGGTAGAAGTAATTTACATCTTAAGAGCAGATAACTTGTGTTTAATATCTATAAAAGTGGCATTTGTCACTTGTCTTTATTTCTGCTACATTCATAGAGTTTGTTCAAGTGGTTTTATATTGATGTATATCACTGTATTCAAGTTTGTGTGTCAAATTTACCTTTTGTTAGTCATTCAAACATTCATTGAATTCTGTTTTTTTCATGCACAAGTTTATGACGTTTGAGATAACGGCTGCGGGAGAAACATTTCCCACATTCCTCACATTCAAACTCCTTTATACCATTGTGTAGTACAAGAATGTGTTTCTTGAGATTACCCTTTAGTGCAAAATGTTTTCCACATTCCTCACATTCAAACCCCTTTCTACCACTGTGTCCAAGAATGTGTATCTTGAGAGTCCTCTTCTGGGTGAAATATTTCCCACATTCATCACATTTAAATTCCTTCACACCATTGTGTTCAAGAATGTGTGTCTTGAGATTACTCTTTTGGGAGAAACATTTCCCACATTCCTCACATTCAAACTCCTTTATACCACTGTGTCCAAGAATGTGTGTCTTGAGAGTACTCTTCCGGGTGAAACATTTCCCACATTCATCACATTCAAATTCCTTCACACCATTGTGTTCAAGAATGTGTCTCTTGAGAGTACTCTTATGGGAGAAACATTTCCCACATTCCTCACATTCAAACTCCTTCACACCACTGTGTCCAACAATGTGTGTCTTGAGAGTACTCCTTAGTGCAAAATATTTCCCACATTCCCCACATTCAAACTCCTTTATACCACTGTGTCCAAGAATGTGGCTCTTGAGATCAACCTTCCGGGAGAAACATTTCCCACATTCCTCACATTCAAACTTCTTTATACCATTGTGTACAAGAATGTGTGCCTTGAGAGTACTCTTCTGGGAGAAACATTTCCCGCATTCCTCACATTCAAACTCCTTCACACCATTGTGTACAAGAATGTGTGTCTTGAGAGTACCCTTCTGGGAGAAACATTTCCCACATTCCTCACATTCAAACTCCTTCACACCACTGTGTACAAGTAAATGTTTCTGAAGAGTAGACTTGAAGCCAAACTGTTTGCCACATTTCTCACAGGAGAGCTTTTTATCTCTGCTTGACATTGTGAACTTCTACTTAGTTACATTTGGTCTTGAGACGTGACATCACAGTATCTGAAACAAAATATTTTGCATTAGATAATATTCGTATAACAGTACAATTTATAAATGAAAACTACAAGTGACTAAATCAAATTGTGTAAAAAAAAGAGTAAAAATAAAATAAAAATATAAAATAAAAAGGTTATATTAATGTACACCGCGAGGATGCCGGAAAACCAGCTTTTTCAAGTGAGACAGATTGTATGACTATGGAAACACAGAAGAAGGCAGAGCATTCAACAGTGTGAAGAAAGAAGGATGTACTATAATTGGTTATTATAGTGTGACCCACATCCACACAGACACAGTTTGGCTGTGTGAGTAAAGAAGATGTACTATAACGGGTTATTATAGTGTGACCCACATCCACACAGACACAGTTTGGCTGTGTGAGTAAAGAAGGATGTACTATAATAAGTTATTATAGTGTGACCCACATCCACACAGACACAGTTTGGCAGTGTGAGAAAAGAAGGATGTACTATAATGGGTTATTATAGTGTAACCGATGTGCCTCCAACTCGGCCCATCAAATACCAACTCGGACCATCTCGGATAACCAACCTTTCACTCAAACATTCTAATGTCTGTTTGTATCAACGACATAACATAAAACATTTATTACGTTTGCCACGAGGGAGGGAGGAAGGCCCACAAATTAACATTTACTCACAAAATTAACAACAATAAACAAGACGGCCACCTTGATTGATGTTGACCTGCTACACCTTGTCCGATTCTCTCTCTTATCTTTCAGTAGCTACAAGTCTTCATTATTAATACTATAATAAAAGTATTCTATTAATAAATATTACATAATATAAATAAATTATACTTTCATTATAATGTTTTATTATTGATTAAATTCCCACTAATAGATATATATTAATATTAAACTAAACTTAAGTCAGTGACTGGAGAACCGAATAGCTTGACAACATTTACAATTTTACAAAAATAAATTTAAACAATAACATTTTGTGTTGAACTATTTTAAGTTTATTTATTAATATTTTATTAATTTATAACACTACAGTATATAGATTCAGTTAACGAAAGACTCCGTGGAACCAATTGTGTCGGTTATTGGAGGGACCACTGAAGATATTTTAGCGACCCTCCCTGGTGACAGCCTTAACCTAACGTGGGTCAACACTCCACTATCCACCTATATGAACCTTCATTAATGTGGAACAAGTCCATTATAAGAACAATTCACTGGACAATACTCAAGGCAGTAGGTATAACCTGTAATATTTGATCACTAACTTGAACTATCATCATTATTGTTGTGGAATGTTCCTAAAAGTACAGTAATTATTTACCTATTATACAGTACAGCATTAATTTATGCCAAGATTGATGCCAAAAAAACATATTTAAGTATAACTTAACCCAAATAAAATACCCCATTTGTTTGTAAAGTTTCCTGGCTTTTCCATGCAGTCGACACCCCAATACAGTCAATTCTGCTATAACGCGTTAGTTGTGCTCTTGTAAAACATCGTGTTATAGAAATTCGCGCAATAGAAATAACAGTGCTTATGGAGAAAATAGGGTTAGGTGCAGATTACTCGAAATCGAAAAAAATTTAGTAGTTAGCCTAACATAAAGGATAGCACAGTCTAAATAAATGTTACATTCATATCTAATAATGAAATCATACAGTAAATGTAACACTTTACCTTGAAAAAATATGAATATAACTTGATGGGGGAGAAGGGTGATTTTGAGGTAGATAACATCGAGCTTCTCTTCAAGTGTTATATCCTTTCTTTTACGATCATCACCGGGATACGGTACGGAGTCATTAGTTATGAGGTGAAAGAAGATTATTAGGGGTTGAAGAAAAAGTGGTGAAACTGAAATACAGTAGGAGTAGAAGGAATCTGGGCTCAACCATATCGCTTTATCTTTCCGATTAGTGTTTTATCTTTGTTCTGCTCCCTTGGGTCGTCAGACCTTTGTATTAATATTGGTTTATTTATAAAATGCTGCTTATTATTATTATTTTTTATTTATTGTTTGAGTTAGTGAGCCCACCCAGAACGCTTCTTGGAGATAATCTTCTTTACCATATTCACAGTTAATACCACAAAATTGGAGAAATAGTAAGCAAAAATTGCATTACAGGTACTTCAAACAACCATATTAATTTTTTACATTAATTTTACTACAGCTACAATCAGGGTCTTATTTTCTTCAGTTTTATATGCAGAACCAATCAGTCACTGGTTTTGTAAGCTTTAACATAAACAATGCCGGCAGCCGTCTCGTCTCCTCGTGTGTTTTAATATTCCACGTAGTGTATTATTAATAAATTGTATTGTTAATTTTGCACACACAAACATTAATTCAATAAAAACAAATTCAGAAACATTAATTAAAATATATATGAACAGTAAATAAGTGTTGCTTTCATATTCTTATGTAAAGTAATGACGATATGTTTTCACGTGTGCGCATGCACACGTGAAAACATATCGTCATTACGCGATCTCTCTTTTTTCTTTACCATTATCGTTAGTTACTTCTATTGTTCCATTTATTAACATTAAATAACATTACTTAAAACAAACATACAGTTGGTCCTCATATTACGCGGTTAATGTAACCCGGAGGGTCCCGCGGAAAGTGAGGAACGCGTAAAGTGAACAACATAACATATGGGATTAATTGAAATGGAGTCCAGGCCGATCCCCAAACTCCACTTTTTGACGACACATAACTATGTTGCAGTAAAAACTTTATCTTAACTTTATGATGGTATGAAAAAACAAGTAATATAGAAGAGGTTAGGTTAGGAAAGATAAAGGTTAACATAGGAAAAATGAAGGTTACCTTAGAGAAACTAAAAGTTAGGTGGAACACTTACGGTAGTAGAAGAGATGGGTCGGCATACGGGGATGGAGGCTGGTTCCGAGGCAGAGGGCAGATTACTGGCCCTCAGGTGAATCACCATTACTAGGTGAATCATCATCACTGTCACTTACAGTTGTCAGGGCTTCCCTGACAAATCCCTCAAAGTCAACTTCACTGTCACTATCACTGGCTTGGGCTGGCTGTGGTGGGTTGCGGGTGAAGAAATCTGTTATGCTTTGCTGACGGCTGGCGTTGATGTTGTCGTGATACACCTTGATGTACGGCTCCATAGCCTGCACCAGCCGGTTATGGAAGACTTCATAGCGGTCATCGTCATTGTCGCGGGAAAGGAAGGACTTCATCTTCTCTGCACACTCCATGGCACCCTTAATATCACTATGACTTAAATTGTGTTCTTCGGAGACTGCCGCACCTTCTTCCTCCTCTTCACTGGCGTGTTCTTCTTCCAACATCTCGTCGGCAGTCACTTCAGGATTTCTGATCACCTCCAGGATGTCGTCGTCGGTAGGTCTCGGAGAAGCCTGGAACTGTAACAGTCTGCGCAGCTTCTCTGGCAAGGTCCACTGCTACTGCAACAGTCTGAACCTCACCAGTCACAGATTGACTCCTCCTCTCACCTGGTATTCCATGCAACACATGTCTCCATGCGTGACGAATTGTAGCAATAGACAGCTGATCCCATGACTCCACCAAGATGTCCACAGCTTTCTTGATGTTAAATACTCTCCAGAATTGTTTGAAGAGTATTTTTTGCTGTTCTAACCGTTGTTCCTCAACTTCGTCGCTCTTGCTATCGGTGGTGGTGTCACTCAGGTCACGCAACTCTTCCCTGGTGTTGGTGTAGTCGTTCAGGAGCTGGAATTTTTTTGTTGAGAATGCAGCTTTCACATTGCAAATCAACTCCTGGTCCATGGGCTGGATTAAAGACGTAGTGTTGGGAGGAAGGAAGACCACTTTTATGTTGGGGTGACGATCTAACAGTAGGGGCGAGTGTCCTGGTGCGTTGTCCAGCAGCAACAAAATATTAAATGGGACATTCTGTTGCTCACTGAATTTCTTTACATCGGGAACAAAACAGTCATCAAACCAGGAGAGGGACAGTGTAGAGAACATCCATGCCTTACGTGCTGTCAGCCAGTGGACATTTAGCTTGGTCATGTCCATGCTCTTGTAGGCGTGCGGCTTGCGGGCTGTGTGGATCACCGATACCTTGAGCTTACAGGTACCGGAGGCATTGGTGGTAAACAGGACGGTGATGCGTTCCTTCTGCATTTTCCGGCCCCGAATCCTGCTGGCATTCTTCACAATGTAGGACTTGGAAGGTAGTTTTCTCCAGAAAAGACCAGATTCGTCCATGTTAAACACCTGGTCGTCATTGTACTGTCCTTCCTACATAATCTCACGTAAAAACGGAGGAAATTCCCGAGCCGCAGCATGATCAGCACTCGCTTCTTCACCACCAATGTTTATATTGGTGATCTTGTTCCGGATCTTAAACCTCTGTAACCACCCAGAGGAAGCAGTAAAGGGTTTGGGCTCTGTAATTCCCATCTTTCGTGCCACTGCCATGTACAGTTCACGTGCGTAGTCCTTCACAGAGCGCGTGTCGACCGCCATGTTCCGTCGCGCCTGACGCACCAAGTACCTCACAAGTAATTTTTCTGTCTTGAGAAGCACCTGGTTGTGAAACTACTTGATCACAGAAGCACCTGTAGACTTTGTGATCTTCATGTGCTCCTTTATCTTGGCTGAATCCTTCTTTATAGTCCGGATCGTAGATTCGTTCACGCCATGCTGGGGGGCCAAATCAACCTGCCTTGTTCCTTTCTCCAACTCTTGGATGATGGTATACTTCACCTCGTAGCTTAAGGAACGTCGTGTCTTCTTTGGTTTAGTGCCGCTGGGTCCAGGTAAGGAAAGGTTTTTCTCTGGGGGTGGTGGTCCGGCGGAAGCCATTTTACGGAACAATGGATGCGCGTTTACACGGAGTGGCCTTGAGGGATGAAACTGCCGCGGCTAGGTCAAGCGTCGTCTTTCCTCCCTCCCTCCCTCCCCCTGGGTGGACACGTCATAATACT